AAAGCGTGATGTTCGTGCAGAGTTGTTGCTTTGCTAATCAAACCAATTGCTTTTTTAACGGTATTTAGAAGCTTGCTTTCACAGCGCTAGCTCCTTGTTAGCCGTGTAGGCTTTAGCTTTAATTGTGGTGGTTCTCTTGGTGCAAAGACGGTAACGTAAAAACGATCAACAACAGCTTAATTTATTAGCACCAGCAGAGGATACAATTGCAGATCGTATCAGTATGTGCGTGTTACATAAAATCTTGTATCAATGACCTTGCTCTACACGGTTTCTGGCACGGTTCTTTGACCAATAAAATAACTAATCACGAATCACGAATATCAAAATTTCATTTCAGTTTTCGAGTCATGATATTCAGCATGTCTTTTTTCATCTTCCGGAGGTCTCGAAACTGCAAATCACGAGAAAAGAAAAAGTAATGAAATCACGCAAATCGACTGCTAATAGGAATTTTTTCTCGGGGCACGCTCAACTTTTTGGTCACGGAAAAAGAATGATTATTAAATTCACGATTCACGAAAAATGAAAACAGCTAATCACGCACCACGAAAATTTCCCTTCACTACCCTCTTCTGTACCCCACTCTCTTTTCACTTTTCTTAGTCCAGAATAACTTAGTTGGAATGTGGACTAAGCTTTGGTTGATTCCGTATGTTTGAGTGTTTGATAACATTTGATAACCTTTAGTTCACAATTGTTTACAATTGTCCGTACAGGCAGTACAAAGTTTGGTCAGCAATGAATGCCGTTGCCATGGTGTTTCAGGCTCCTGTGCGGTGAAGACCTGCTGGAAAACTGCACCAAGCTTTGCTAAAGTCGGCGATGCTCTAAAAGCCAAGTATAACGATGCCGTCGAAGCGATGGTCATCAAAAAGAAGAGGCGCCTCCGAAGGAAAGAGAACAAAAGGGTCCGAATATCAAGGGACACGCTGGTGTACCTAAACCACTCGCCCAACTACTGCACTCCCAACGCCAAGCTGGGCATTCTTGGGACATCTGGGCGAGTGTGTAACAAGACCTCTCAGGGAAGGGACCGATGCGATGACCTGTGTTGTGGGGGAGGTTACAATACTCAGGTAGTGCGTGAAGTAAACAGGTGCCAGTGCAAGTTTGTTTGGTGCTGTTACGTGACTTGCAAAACGTGCGTACGAATTTATGATCGGCACACCTGCAAATAAAAGGCGGCTCATTCCATCCCCTCAAGACTTTCAAGTGTTATTTATTATTTTAAGAGCTGTAAAAGACACATCATTGGGGTTACAATGTGTGCCTTTGTACAATTAATCATGAGCCGAGCGATCTTCAGTAAAAATGGAGCTTTCTCCAATAATACAGAATGGAAACATCTTTGTATATCAACTTCAGGAAATCAATCGTCCCCGACAAAGATGATTTGTGGATGCGCTCTTTGCCCTGTATTGTTTTATTTGAAGGCAATATTTGGTGTCTTGGAGCGTGAAATTCATGGAACTTTGGACGCATTGTTTAATTTGGCTAGACTAGACTGGCCAGATGTCTGATATTTCTGACTCTGTTTGAATAAGATCTGAACTAGAATGTTGGCCTTTGTCGTTGCTTACTAAGCCCTGCTGCATTATGAGAACTGTGGACAAACATGGCGAGGGTGCCAAAAGGTTCATTACTGGTTATAGTAAGCCAGGCAGTGGCTTAACTGCGTTGTATCATGATCTGCTCTGTTGCTTAACTTCGTGTTCAAAGATGAAGACGTTGAGATTTCTGGCTCCAGTTTTGTAGACGCTGGAGTATGTTTCTTGACCGAGGATGTCCTCCTGTCCAGCACTTTGATGTTCTATCAAGGGTAACTTTTGCGGCCAGGAAAAAGCTTCCAAAGCAAAAGGAGTGATGAAACTTCAACTTGAAATTGTCACATTTTCATCATATTTTTTCCTAAGGGGGGAGGGGGGCTCAGAATGCAACTTCTCTTTGCTTGGACCTGTTTTAATGTCTTGCATCTTACCGGGGGGTAGGGGTAGGGGTAGGGGTAGGGGGTAGGGGATAATAACTAAAGATTGAAGACGATCGTTAATATCTTCAGTGCTATGAAGCTTGAAAAAAGACTTCAGTCTGAGTTTGTAAATTATTGTACTGTGGTATTTCTGCCATATTGCATTTGTCATCTGTTATTGAATGTACTACTGTCTCTAAAGCGAGACGTTGTAGAGCGAAAGATTTAGAAGGAATCTCGATTTTTTTTTATTTATTTGTGTATATTACCAGAAGTAGACATAGAAAACATTTTCCTGAACTCTCAAGATGTTTCTGAGAGTTCTTTGCCAGTCAGTTTGCAGCCATAACAGAATTGTTGCTTTTTGCGGGCTTTTACCTTAAAGGAGCTGTGTCACGAAATTCAGCAAAATTAGGAAATTACAAAATGCCCGTTAAATTAAGAGAAACATAAAAATAACCGCTTAAATCTTTAAAGAAGGGTAATATTATAATGTACGTTATAATACAGACTCAGAGCTGGAAATAATTTTTCTCTCTTGAAAAGACAGTCCCCGGCTAAGTCACTAGTTTGGTCGGACAAAGCAAAATTGTGGTCAGACTCGATCCTGGATGCATTACGCGTTTCCATAACGACAGGGCAGGCGCGGGATTGGCAATTAGACTGATCGATTACAATTGTATATGTTGTTTCGTTGGTTCGACAATAGGCCATTTCCGAGTTCCCCCGGGCCTCTGTTTCAAAACGAGGGTAGGTGCTCAGCCTTTGATATGGAAATCCTCTTTCACTCTCATGCAAATAAAACTCATTTTCACAAGAAAGGTTGTGTACCTAGCTTTATTTTAAACGTGAGGGTTTTGGAACTCGGAAGTGGCCTATTCACTTGCGCTCCTCACGGTAGATTTTATTCATCTGCAAAATGATCTACTGGTATTTACATCGTCTGGACATCATCTCCGACCACCGTTAAGATTTCGTCTGACATGTTATTTCCAGCTCTGTATAGGCTACAGTCTATGCGCGCTTTGATTGGCTAAAACGCGCTTTTTACTACAGAAACGTGTTGTACATGTAATAGTTTCGAGGTAGATTTCTGGTTCAAAGCTAAATTTTTGTGGGAAGAAAGTGCTATTTATATTTTGTTTCAATGACAAATTACCTGTGAAGTACTTGTTAGACAAGTTATTTGACAGATAATAATAAAAAGTTCTCTTTTGATAAGCGTATCATTAAGTCCCAAGACCTAAAAAGAAAAGAAGTTCTACTTCATCTTCTAAGGGAGACACCGTTTCCTGTTGTCACACAGCATTTGTTAAAAGGATGTTTTGAATGTAGACCCCTCTCAACATTGTTTTGAGATGCTGTGAAGAGTTGTCAAATCATTTTTTTTTTCATTTTTTACTCTCAAAATGTTGGATCTGTTTTTACAATTCTGGAACCCAGAGCCCTTAACTATTGCGGATGCTATGCACATCCATAAGCCTTCAGGCTCAGGTGTAGAGATTGCTGTTTTTACACGCTTACTCAACCGCACTCACAACTTCGTTATACTCGTGCTTGCTCAGTGGAAGTAATTATCAAGACGTAACTGCGCATGCGCTTGTGTCGTGCGCGCCCGTTCTTGCGTCGATGGTGCCTTTGTGTAAACCTTATACCAGACTAAACATGATGCACGAGATAAACGATACGCTCGAGAGAGCAGAACACACACGTCACGCGCGGTTCCTCCCTAGCTGCCGCCCCTTTCTGCGCCCTAAATTGTTTATGCACCTGTTACGTAGGATAGTGGGTTCCTCATAGAGAGTCTCTGATAATTACTAAAGAAAGGAAGGGACCATCTCTAGGGCCTTTATTCAAAGACCGGTTTATCGGCTCTCGTCCATGGAAGGATCGTTAATTCCCACGAAGTAGCTATAATCAACTCTCACCTTTGGGACCGGTACTACGCGTCCGTCTTATAGAAAGTTAAATAAAGGGAGTAAAGAAAGGCAGGGACCAACTCTAGGTGTCCGTTTTGAATGAATGAAGAGTCTTGGATGAGAGGACAACAGACGTACCCTTTTCCAATACGTTTTAACAGGTGAACAGTAAGCTCGGACATCAGCATACAAAGGTGCCACTGACAGCCGCTCTCAGTCCATTTATGAGCTTACTGTACCCACCTAACCCATGATGTGAATGATGTGATGTGTGAAGGTTGACCACACCTCTGGGTTCTACGTCCCCTACTATTTTCGAACAGTGGTGTGGGTTCTTTTACGTCCCACAAGAGCCAGATAAGTGTAAGTGCTGTGAGACGGGACCCACGGTTTTTCGTCCTTATCCGAGAAGACTAGAAAGTCTAACCATTTGCAGATGTCATTACAAAGGCAGCACTTTCTTCTCATTTATCTAAAGACCCTGAGTGTTGGTCCGGCCGGGGTTCGAACCCGTGACCTCCCGCTCAGCAGACCGGCGCTCTCTCAACTGATCCAACCAGGCAGCAGTTTTACAGACGTGTCCGTCTTATAGAGGTGTTCGTTGAGAGAGAGTCGACTGCATTTGTATCTTAGAGTTCGAGGTTGATCTAACAAAGGTTCGCATCTCTCAAATTCAAGTAAAGGATTGAGAAACTAGTCACAAGTTATCAGTTTTTCGAGCTGTCTAATGTCTCTCTAAATAATTTTAGTTTGGTTTGGTGTAGGGGCGTATATAGGCGTCCGTTTTAGAGTTGGAGTTGTCCATCTTATAGATGCGTCTGTTACAATGTGAGAAGAAGTTAAGAGTAGGTCGCCAGCAACGTTTTTCAGCGGCGCACATCAACCGGAAGTGGACTTTTGGCAAACTGGAGCCGTGATTTGAACAAAATTTTAAGTAAATCGTCTTTATAAGATTAAAGACACTTAGCCATACAAATTTGGTGGCGTCAAGGCATATTAAAAGAGCAAAGAAAATAAGCTCACCTCCGGCCAGTTGACGTGCGTGGCTCAAAAACGTTGCTGGTTAAGCTCCCTAATACTGCTTGAATATTCCACAAGTAGTGAGACCTCGTACACATAAATGATTTTATTACAACTTCTGTTATCTATAGTAGTGGGCACTTTAACAGGATAACTCGAATTTCTTACTAAAAGATTGATTGTCTACATACGAACATATTGTTGGGATGAAAGTCATCAACAGGACGTTGTAATGCGTCTGTATATGAAGTATGTCTCTAATGCCATGTAGCACAAGGGGCTCGCGAAAGTGGCAAATGGGTCTCTCACTTAAACTATGCCTCGTACCATCACAGAAGACGAAAGGCAATATTTTAGTACTGTGGACTGGTTTCACGCCGATGCGCTGCATGTATAGTCCGATACAAGCATCTTCCACTGGAATAAGAGGAACTTTCTGTGATGCTGCCAACAGTTTTTGTAGAAGGCCTCCACTAAACACGTACCCGCCTCCAGAAGCGTATGGCGGATACATATGTTTGCTAAAGTCTTTGGTAGATACAAAATAACGATGTTTTTTGTCACGCACTACTTCCATATCCTCCTGGATATTTCCTGCGTATAATGCCTTGGAACCGTTGGTCACGTGATAATCTTGCAGCCACTGGAGGAATGATAAGACATTGACGAAGCAGTCTTCGTCTGTTTTAAGAATATATGTCGCCTGGCAGTGTTGCAAAGACCACCGTAGTCCGAGGAGTGTCTTGAGAGACAAATTTCGGTATGTGTCGAGAAAGTCTCCTATAACAATGTCTTTATACACTTGAGCTTCTTGCTTTAGTAGGTTGTTGAGCCTGGAACTGTTGCTTAGACCAACAAGAAAAACCGTTTTCCATGACCTGAAAGAAAGGACTTGGTGAGTAAATTTTTTAATAGCGGATTTATGATGATGATAATAATAATATAGTTTTACTTATTTCTCCAGAAACATTTCATATGAAAAAAGGGTTATAAAGTTCTATGTGCCTAGCGAACTTGTTTAATTGATAACGTCACCACTCTATATGATCTACTTTAACTACCAGCTATAACAAGGCTGTCCCCAAGATGTTACGCTGTGTTATTTCTCCATCACATTTAACGGAATAGACGGTTCTGGGAAACTGCCCACCTACCCCTCCCCTGAGACAACATTAACACTTACTTCTCACTTAGGGCGAAATGTTGGCTTAGGGGAGGGGTAGGTGGGCAGTTTCCCAGAAACATATACTGATCCTGGTGAGCAAGTGTTTTTTTTTCGGTCACATACGAATGACATGCGAACTGCATCGTGCAGTCACCTCCATAAACATTCATTACAGATCTCGTTTCTCTACTGACGATCAAGTATTTACCTTCCAGAATGTGTCCAACTGCCTTGGTTAATGGGATTGTCTTCGCGCCCCCATGACAGTCTAATGGACTCCCTGTCCATAAAGTTAAAGGGGCTTGAATGCACCAAAATCAACAAAAATGGCGTCGGTGAACACCGTGGAACGAAAGAGCCATAAACGTATTCCTGTTGTGGCAGCTTGCTATCCCGCAAATTGTTTACCTCGTAGTGCTTAGAAATCGTCGATGAAGAAGTCATGTATCTTTGGACGATGTCTTTTAACTCCAAATTTAGTAATTCCAAGTAGCTTAAGCTTGATCCGGCAACAACCTTTGGCTCAGAATCAACTTGGACGCTAGCAATTTGCCTTCCAACCACAACTGGCGAGAATCGTTGTGATGTGTAGAGTTCCACATTTCCTTTTATGTCCGCAAGGAACATCAGATATACAAGATTGAGGATCCCAGTGAGCGAGGTGAGCATTAAGAGGTATCTAACGGTACATAGCTTGTTGAATTTGTGTCGCATGTTGGACAAACCTGTGTAGAAAGCATGCAAATTATTGCGGTCTTGTTGACACTTTTGGTTATAATTAACTTCTTGTCTTTTAACTCACCGTCAAGTGATCTCAATTCGATCACGTGACAACTGCAAGTGACTTCAGAATCAAGAATTTGGGAGCTTAAGAAACGACGACAGTTGAGACGGTAACGAGAACGGCAAAAAAACAGTAGGTTTGCATCAGAAAAAATACAACTTTGCACGTGCATCACGTTTCTTGTCCATTTCTTCGTTGTCACTTAACGACTACGACGTGAAAGTGCCTAATTTAACGTTTTTCGTAGGACATGAACACAATACAACGGCTTTCTTTGTCTTCTCCCGAACTTCGATACAGTCCTTTAGAATTCAACTCTAGAAAAATTTGCTGTCAACATTTGACGAATTAAATGAGATGGAATGAGCGTAGTAAAGTTTGAAGTAGTGCAATTTTACTTCAGTTTCAAGTGACGTTTTCGTAGCCGTCGCCGTCGCCGTCGTTGTTGCTTAAGCTCCCTAATGTCAGCTAAAACAGACGATAGCGTCCAACCATAAATACAGATTGTGGGGTTACGAACTTCCCGCCATATACTAGCTACCACTTGTTAATTGAGACATTCAGCCACGGCTTCTTCCGCTGAATGAAGACGGTGCACGGTCGAAAGCTTCGTTCCTTGAAACGAAACCGTTGAGTTTCCAAAGGCCTAGAATAGGTATTCGTAGACTTTGGAACTTGGAAATTATAAACCAGAGTTTAATACCATCAAATGACGTGATACAACTCACTTTGACTCTGAAAATGACTAATGCATAGGTTGTCGAAACGTCCGTCACTGTCAACAACAATAGTCCTATTCAGGACTACGTTCACCCGGACGATCATACTCAACCTACTTTTGAAATTATTGATAAATTTTGACGTTTGGACACTTTTAGGAAAGAACTGTTAAAAGTAAGAAGGGCTAGTTTACTCCTTAAAATCGGACGATGATTTTTCTGCTCCGATTTACCATCCTCCGTGCGGACTAGGAGATCATTCTTCCTTAAACGTCGATCATCCGTTTACTGTACAAATTGCTTATCGTTCTTGCTCTCGACAAGTTCATATTGATGATCGAGTATGAAATTACTTAAACCAGTGGAATTCATGGCATTAGGAAATCTTATTTGCAATCCGATTTCATAGGATTTTTATATTTTGGTAGTCGGGCTTTATCCTCAGTTCTTAATAAACCACTTACTTTCCGGCGTTGTTTCTCAGGATGCCTCAGGGAAACGTTTGCGTTTTTAAGCAAACCTCTGATCGACCGCAACTCACTGCAGGTTCGCATAAATCTTGTCAACTTTAAGTACTTTAAATGGAGCAAAGTTCCTTCTTAGACCATTAATTGGAAGACTTGAGAGTTGGCTGTGAATCGTTTTCAAATTATCGACACGATAACACACTACCCGCTGTCTACCTCAAACGAAATTAACATGTGAACAATAGCGCAAGTACGAGGTTCAAGTAAATTTCATGTATCACGACATAAGACCGTTCCTTCGTTTCCATATTTGTTGGGCAATAACACGACAGGTAACTGAGTCACAGAATTTTCTTTCAATGGTCAAGGGTTATAGTTTTTTTTTTTTTTCCGGACATGTTTGCAATAGCGTGGCTGTGGTATCTTACACCAACAAATGTGGGTGGGTTGTAGATGAAATGGACTTTGGAAGCGTTAGTGTTTTCTTTTTTCATCTGTGGAATAGGAAACTGCCCGAAGTTAGTCCTCAACTACTTTTATTGGTAAAAAAAAGTGTCTTCAGTTTCATAATAGCTCCAAACACTCATAATCTTAGCTTTAAACTCAGTAATTAATAGTCTGAAGGAACAAAGAAAGTGATTGCAATCTGTGATCCGATTTGTTGGAATTTTACATTCATTCTTGTTTGTATGCTATCATTTCAAACTATTCAACAGATTGAACCTCCTGGAACTCGACCCAGTGGTATGAGAAAATAATTCAACTGGCCATGCAAATGACCTATATTTCAAACCGAACCGGTTCCCAATTCTACTTTAAAGTGTATTTTGGGCCCTCAACTAGATCTGCCGTGACTCACGATCTCGGCGTTAGACAATCAAGTGCTCAAATCTTATTAATGGAAAGCACTCGAAATCATTAAACAAAGTACATTGTACTTTGGTGTTTGTATACACTTATATAACCCTTTTTTTATTTCTTGCTTACAAATAATCCAAAACACGCTGACCGCCTACCTCGAATAAATAGCATAATAGATGGATTAGACATCTCACGCTAAGACGCGCGGGCACTGTTCGGACTGGCCGTATCCACATAAAAATTCTCCACAAAAATCTCCATACATTTCCTTGAAGAATAAGTGGGAGAATAAATGGGAGAACTAGATAAAAAATCAAAGTACTTTCCCTTATGTGATCATTTTGTTAATTCTCATAAACCTTTCTCTTGATTATGTATTGGTATTGTTAAGAAAAATTTGATGTTTGTCTCTCCTTGGAGTTAAAGTGTTTTTACAGATAGTCAGTGACTGAAAACGGCAGGGACCAATTCTTAATTCCCGTTTTAGTGGGGCGTTGGAGATGCCCGTTAAAAGATGCTTTCAGTTCGTCTTTTTCCTAAATTAAAAATAGTCGGGGTAAACTACTTATGTGCTCTGCACAGCTCTGGTACAACTATTCTACCAGCTGTTCCAAAGATTATGAAATTGTCAACGATACCATTGTTTTAGTTAAGCCGTTCTTCGACGATCACGACAACTCCTGTAAAGGAAAGCTCATATTCAAAGTGACGGGAAAGCGTTTTCTCTGGTGCTTATCTTCGTCAGTTTTTGTCAGCTCGATGATTGGCGGTGTTGTCCGCACTGTTAGTGGAAGAGAAGTGCTCTGAGTGCTTCAGTGTTTAGAAGGAACAGAAAGCCTGTGTGTGGCCTGAGGATAAAGCGATCATCAATCATATGGGCGCATTAAGTCAAGACAGTGTATGCAGTCCAACTTTTTCCCTAAGTGGCTCTCTCTTTTTAGGGCCATACTTAATTCTCAAAAATTATAGGGGTGATAATGTTTGAGAGGTCAGTTCCGATTCTACCCTCAAATTTCCTGACTGAAACCTTACCACAACGGCCATAGTTTTCACACGAAATGGTCTAATTTTCCGTGCCCATGTACAGTAAATAATCGACGCCATCAAATCCGCTTCTCGAAAAGTCTCTCAAATAGCGTAAGACCTTCCTACAAGGTCCGTGAACTCCAAGTGATGCGACAAAGGCAGCGACCATGCTAAAGCGGTGATATGCTAGATAGTTGCCGCTTTTTTATGGCCCACTGCAAAACTCGTCTCTTACGAGGAAACAACCAGAACGATGATACCTCCTAATTACAATAAAATTGAGCAATACTCAGATTTAACTTACTCCCGTAATAGCAAATACAATTCCTTCCCTTCGCGTTTTGTAAAACTAGCTGAAAAATGCTGCAAAGATTGCGAGAAAGACCGTCGGAAAGATGTGCGTCAAGTTTGGAACACGTTGTAACTACTGTTCCTTAGAGCAGAACGCCCCAATACCGTTGTATCATCGGCGGATTCTAGTGATGGAACAATTTTGCACGGCGAATATCGGCCATGTTATCCAGAGCTTCTAAGCTTATTTAGATATTGGATCACGAGTCAGGGTAGAAACTTATAAGTACATAAACTCGTAGTTTATACTTGCCAGAATCAAACAGGTACATCATAAATTGATTAATCCAATTTTTCGACCTGCGTGTACATAAGTTACATTATAGGTTTTGGGGGAACTTACGACCGATTTTAGGCCTTTTTAATTAGATGGCGCTATGTTCGTGCGAATTTCTTAGATACTGCTGTTTTTTCGTGCCTCTGTAAGTCCTTTTTATCGAGAATTATTAGCGTAAAATAATATGGCTAAGTTAATTACGTTTGGATTCTCACACAAACTTTCTCCTTAAGCAAGAATGGAGTGATTATATTATCAAGCTAAAACTTCAAATTTGAAAGTCGCTTAATTGCTGCCGAGTATAAGGTTATGTTGACTAGTTGCCTTGTTGATAGAAAATGCTTTGTCATCACAAACCAAAGGTGTTTATTTAAATCTGGGTTAACAAAGTGAAAATCGGTAACATAAAACTGAAAGACTGAGTTTAAGTTCAGATATAAGTAAGCTCATTATGTATTTTCATGTTTTGCTAGATTTGAAAGTCGACTGACAAACATTTGCGAAGCAAACAATACATGTATAATGGTTAGTCCGATAATTTTAACCCCAACTCAGGAAGGACTGACGCAAAAAAACAAAAAACAAAAACAAAAAAAACGTAACAGATTTGAAAGTCGACTGACAAACATTTGCGAAGCAAACAATACATGTATAATGGTTAGTCCGATAATTTTAACCCCAACTCAGGAAGGACTGACGCAAAAAAACAAAAAACAAAAACAAAAAAAACGTAACAGGATGCCCGTTGAAACCGACAAAACGTCAAAATTAAAGCCAAGTTTAAGAAGTGAAAATAGGTAGTGGAAAACTGTAAGGCTGCGGTTAGGTTTCTGTAATGTTATTGTACTGGATTCGAAGTCGACAAAAGTCAGTGAAGCAAACACTGGAAAAGTCTTAACGATTTTAACTAAGTAGCTTTTCAACTGGATTCAAAGGCTTTCGCATGAATAATGGCGCAATAGATGAAGCTCAACCTAAACTAAACGGCACTGATCCTGTACACAATTTCCACAGTCTTAAGTGCATGAAGCTTGAACTCAGCGAAGCAAGGCTACTAAGACGAATATGCTATATAAGGTCCATATTAGTGCTTAGCCGGTAAATTCACCAGTGTCCTCAAATTGCTTGCTGACCGAAAGGCGTACGTCGTTGCTAGATTCATATGGTCAATGCACTTTAGTCAGAATATAGAAATAGAAGATTGCCCTCTCATACCGGCTACAAGCCAAAATAGTGCTTACCTTGTGAAATGTAACGGCTGACTTGAGTTTCGCTCACTACGCGATTAGTACGCTGCAGTGAAATCTCCTTCCACCGGCGTCGAGCTGTTCAAATTTGTAAAACCGGCTTCATAATCCTAAATATTATATGTTATCTGCAAAAGAATTTAAGGATATGGTGATGTCGGAAGTTATCAGAGACAACACAATGTCAGACAATGTTTTGACCTTCTGACAAAGGTGGCCTGTTACCAAATTGTCTTCTACATCGAATATTTGCGGTTTTATACACGGTTTATGAACCTGCATGTAAATACTTGTATAGTCTTGAATAAAAAGTTACTCATCAGATGTAAAACAATTTCTACAGGACGCAAAACTGTTTTATTTCCGAAGGGTGAACATTTTGCCGGCCGAACTTTCGATGGACTCTGAGGAAAAATCAGTTGATACTAGCGATCTAGAAAATTCAAATAGTTTAACATTTTATTCTGATTATGTACTCAAGATCGAGGTTTATAAACGGACCGAGTTCGCTGGCTTTTTCACATCCCTCCAAAAAGACAAGCGAAGGAAAGTTGTTTGTAGAATTCTAAAGACGATGTAGTTTTTCTCATGAGAATCCGGGTGTATCGTATTTTCGTCAAAATGACCTGCTAAGCCTTAATTTGAAAACTCGAGAATTACAATCGCAAGTATTCTCACTGGTAATTCGCAAACAATTGCGTATGATTGACGTCATCATTCTGATGACAATTGAACAGATTTTGATAAAGAAAGGGGCGAAAAACTGATCTTTATGCCGGCCGAAGAATTTCCTGTTCATACGGACTCAAGCTAAAAACGTACAAGTTCAGATATATTATAGGGCTGGCAGTTTAAGAACTCAACACTATGTCACGACTTTGTATTTATCGGAAAACGCTGCTCAGACAGGAACCATCAAATAAACCTTGTTCTTATCCCCAGAATCATCAAATAGCCCTCGCCTCATAGCATTTTAGAGATTTTTACTTGAAAGGCGTTTTTTAAGTAGTTTCCACGGAAAAGTGATGATATTTTCTTATCCCCCCCAGTGGGGTATTATACGCCTTTTCGAGGGCGTGATATTTCCTTTCGTTAAAAAAAACCAAGTCATGAAACGTTTTCACAGAGTTAAACGTAAACTTCTTTGGAAAATCATTTCGAGGCCAAACATGACATCAGGCCTTCTGATGTCACAGAGTGCTCAAACAGTTACTAAGAGCTTATAGTAGAGATATAAGCATCGATACATCGTGATAGGGATTTTCTCGCGCTGTTGACTTGTTTTTTTTTTCATAAGGTGGAAATTGCATTTCAAAATCCTAACACATAGTTGATAAAACTATGACTAAAAATTGTCAGTGTTATTTTATTAGTTTTCTTTCAATAATTGCTGTATTCCTGCCTGACCAAGTCTTACCCCAAATATGAATTTAAACTATTCCACAAATTGTTTTGTAGCTAATAACGTGTAAATAACCGAAGACTGCAGCTTAATGCCCCCTTAATCTCGACAATAAGTTTAACACGCAGTGGGAGGTATCGGTTTGAACTTTTGGTCGTTGATTCTGTTAATCTTTGGATTTTATTATTTTTGATAGTGAGGCGAATAAGAAAATAGCTTAATAAGTGGCAAGATTAGACTCAATCTATCTTGTTTGAACTTAATGGATTGTTACGGTGTGGGAATTCAAACCATGTCGTGACGGTCTTTCGTGCTATCTGCTCAACCTTTCAGCAACTATGTAATACCTTTCGTCAAAGGGTTCTTAGTTTTCTGTTCTAATACGACGTTAAAGCCTCAGTTTTGAGTGATAAACTTGATCTGACTTATACTTTGGACCCTGCTGTGTCAGTCCTTTGTTTAGAGTAAGGATTTGTAGTATGTATCCCTTACTAACTTACATTTCTCGCCCACAACGTAACGCCGATTATTTGAATCGATGTACGATCAGATACAGCCGATGACCCTTTAGCTGGAATTTGCTGCTTCTTTAGCGGTCGTTTTATTTATTTTAACCCCTGACATCATTAAATCCTATAATACGTTTTTTGGCCCAAAAATGTTAATCGCAAATTTTTGGTTTATGTTGATGTGCTTTGTCCTTGAGTCTTTGTTGGAGAGTAACTGAGATGTCCCGTTTCCAATTTGTTCAGCCTTTAAAGTAACAGTGTTACAAGGAAAATAAAGAAATGTGGGGTAAAATATCAGAACTTCACAGAATTCAAATAAGAAAAGTGAAAAATGCAGTGAAAACTAAAACTTTCGTTACATATGATTTTGCTTTGTCTTTTGTTTTTTGTTCTTTACTTTAGTGAACGCTATGTAAAAGTGTGAATAAATTATTGGCCCCTTGGCGCGGATGCCCGACGGCGTTAAAATGATTTTTTCATTACTAACGAAAGTTTCCCGGACAGAAAAACCTTTGTACAAAGAATTTGCTTCCTGCTCTCAATTAACCAAACTTATTTCTGTTGTTTTCATTTAGAACGTTTTTATGTCCTGATTTTTTAGACTTATGAAAAGTAACGAATCTTTTAATTATCACATCAAGATAATGGTTATACTGAAGTGATCTGTGGATAAGTTGTCAAGTAGCGTCAAAACGAACGATAAATGGTTATATCTATGTTAACAGCCAAAAGTCAACACTCTTAGACAATGTTCTTCTATTTTCAAACTGTGTTCATTGCATTGTGGCTAGGACTCTCTGTTTGCATGCACCAACTACATCATAGAAATCAACTAAATCATAAACGTTACATAGCTAACAGATGTTACCTTGTATTAGCACCAGTCTTATGTCCTAGTGTTGGTTTCTACACCACAATGAGTCATGCCACTGGTACTTGTCTCCGAGAACTTACTAGTTATCAACTTTCAGTTCAGTACTACATGTATGAAATCTTTATCCCACGGTTGATCTGAGACTAAGCTAAACAGCTACAAAATCCGCTTTTACAAGGTATCCTTTTAACTCGCCTATATTTGGCCTCATACTGCGAAAGTGGCACAACATTCACTGCACGCAGCTGTTAGACCAGACTAAACAAACTTACAGCAGGTGAATAAACAAAAAACGAATCTAAATTAAACAGTGACTTGGAAAAAAAACTTCTCATACTTCAGTTTCATCATTGTCATAATTTTACCTAAACTGAGTTCTTACGTCGATTAAAGGGGCTCTGTCACGCCGGGCTGTCTAGTTAATTTTTTCACAATGCCAGTTACGTTTACTTATCCGCCATGGTTACGTGAGAAATGACTTCCTAATCGAAAGAGAGCTTCGTAACAAAGAAATATGTCTCCCAAGCATTAATATCAATCGTTACAAAGATGAAAAATGAACTTACAAAAAATGCCATGCTATTACAAGTTTTCAACAATCACAACTCAGGACTGAGTTAATTTCAATCTTTTTCAAGTTTGTCCATCCGTGACTCTGTTTGTCGGTATTTGCTGTGTTATTTATACCTTCTTTTCATGTTTTGAGCAGTTTTTAACGTTTCACTCAGTTTGGTGGCAGCTTCTACAGTTTGAATCTTGATATTTTCGTGACGTGCAGTTCCATGAAAGGGGCTGTGTCACGGCAGTCCAGTTCATTTTGTTTAATTTTGCCAATTACTCGCCCTCAATCACTATGAAACTTGAAGCAAGCAGAGAAATTACATGTAAATGACAAAATCAGAGACCCGAGACAAGCAAATATGTCTCCAGAGCATTATTTTTGAAGTTGCACGCAGCAGGGATCAACTTTGAGAAACCGTTAGGCTGAACAGTTTTCAAAAATCTAATTTCAATCCGTTTCAATCTTCTTCAGTTTTGCCCATCCGTGACATCTGTTGTTTCTGTTATGTTATTTTAACCTTCCTTTAAAGTTTTAAGCGGTTATTTTTATGTTCCTCTTTTGTAATTTCCTAATTTGGCTGAATTTCGTGGCGTGCAGCTCCTTTACTTGTGAAGATGAACGTTTTTAACCAAAGTCGCTAGTACAACTTTGAAATAGATTTAACATAGAAAAAATTAACATAGAAAAAGGTCCGGGTTCAAAAGAACGAACTCATTATTGAAAAATAAAACACGGTATCATCACTCAATGCCAGTTAAATCTCGATACCCTGTCGTGTGTAGTCATAAACAAGTGATATTGATCGTGGAAGTTTGGCCAGCAATTAATTACGTTTAGTGGACCATGCTAACAAGGTCAGTCAGGTCCTTGACAGCTAGCCAACACCCCTTTTCAAGTGAGGAATACTGACAAAAACATTCAAGAAGTTTTTAGCAGTTTTGAATCCTTACCTAAATAAATGAATGGAAGGCTTTGTCGTCATTAAGGAAAGGAGTTTCTTGAAAAAATTTCTTCACAATCTCAAAAATGCGTCGACTGAATTTGCGAAAAGAGAAGACCATATATTTTTGAAAAATAAGAAGAACTAATAATTATTAAATACTGGTTCCAATCAACTGAATGAAATGCTGGTTGTCACCTGTGTGATGCGACCTGTCATTACTGGCTATATTAACTAATGTAAGCGAGAGATGTAACTGTTTGGTAAATTCTTTTTAAAGAAGCTGTGTCGCTGCAGTGTAGGAATTGCCAATACATCACTCTACGACTTGCACTCTCTATGGAACGTAACGTCAGCAAGGAAATCGTGCACTTAAAATGTGAATGAATAGGCAGCTTCATGACACAAAAATATGTCGCCCATGAACAATAAATTTTAAAGAGTTGCGGAGAAGAGAGATCTGTGAACCTGGAAGAACAGTTAGGCCAACAAGTTTTCAAAAATCCCAGTTGCACTCTGTTCTTAAATTCCTCAATTTTGTCTATTTTTGCCTCGCCTATTATACTTGCTGTGTTGTATAAATTTTCCTTCGAAGTTGTAAGTAGTTATTTTTATATTTCGCTTAATTTTGTTGCTATATTTGGCTAAACTCAATAGTGTATGAGTTAACTTTTCATAGAGAACCCAAAATGATTTTTCGGGCATTTTACAAGTAGTTCTGATTTTAATTTTTGTGCACTCTTGGTTGAGCAAGGTTTCCGGCTTCACGCTAAAGTACAGGGAATAAAGTAATGTTGTAAAACTTGACACTAGTCAGAGAAGGAACAAGTCTTGTTATCGGGCTTTCACAGTCGAAAAGTGCCATTATTGCAAGAAAGGAGAAAACAATATCTTGTTCTGAGAACACTGCAATACAAAGTATAATAATATAATAACACCGTCTTAAATATGGATCCTAATTTCCATTTTTCCCTGAAATATCTTTTAATGAGCGCATATAAACCTCAAGTTTCTTGTTCAACATGAAAGTAATTTCGAAACCGTTTCAGCTGTAATAAATCAGTAGGCGTTGTAGTCTCTATTTGAATCTTTAAAGAAACCCACCGATGCAGATAGGCGGAAGAATCTAGCAAAAAAAATCGGTTTTGATAGTACTTCCGCATAAGATTTGTTTTCCGATGAAAGATTTTTGTCGAAGTTTTATTCGGAGCACTGTCCTGAAGGTTGTGTGGCCAAGGTTAAATTAGATATAATAGAAAAGCATATTTGTTTTTGAGAGAACTCGATGGTTTTATAAAAGGTATAATAAGTTCCGCCTTGTACATAATCTGTGCTTCAACTCGTGTGTTTTCATGTTGTGATCCACTAACATCCGTCCAGACCCCAGGAAAGCTTTTAAAATCACTACTTTAGCGATGTTACAAGAGATCAGGATAGAAAGTAAGGGCTAATCTCTCTGTAATCTTTAAAGTTTCCGTCGCAGGAGATGCATGTTGAATAACCTCGGCCTAGATCATAAGTTTCATTTTACACAACACTAATTTAGTGTATGTACGTATAATAACTTGTAGCTAAAAATGGGAATTTTTGTTAACGGGTAAAATAAAAAAATAGTACCAACCAGTAATTTTAGTCGCAGTTTCGTAAGTGGACTTCAACTGACGATTTTAGTTGGCGTATACTTTCAACGTTTCTTTGCTTATGATTGTGTCCTCTACCAACTGAGCACGTGTCCTTAAACCAAATAGCTGGCAATATGACAAAGCACGTGGCTTACTAGCCTTCCCAGGTGTTTATAGTGTCTGCGGTAAAACGTGCAGTTTTATCTCAAGGTTGATCACAATAGCAGTATTTCCTATGCTTCAGGGATCTCTTTGTCATGTTGAGCGCGAAGCGATTCTGGTATTGTTTGCGTGCAAGTTTGAGGCCTTTTTACAATGGGAGTGAGTATCGTTATTCGCATAACAAAGCTCACTTCAGGTACATTATTATATAGATCAAGCTCTCACAGGTATATTAAGTATGCGATGCGAAAGCTGTAAACAAACCGCGGGAAATCATGGGCACGTTTTGAATACAAGTCAACGAAAGAAAGAGTGATCTATTAATGTATTTGCTTAATGGCGCGCAAACATCATTGGGTTAGTGCCGAAGAAGATGAAAATGGGTGTATTAAACTGTTAAGTCCTGAAGACTGTTCGATTTCTCTGCATATAAGCACTTTTAGATCACTTGTCAACGCAGAAGCCTTAGCGCAAATCCGGCGGTTGTCAAGCCCCAAATCACAGAAGAGTCCACGACTCACTGTTTTTTACCCCCTTTGGTACGTGATTAAAAACAGAACATGTACGCCGTGCCACAGAGCTTCGACCGCCGTCAGCTTCAGTATTTCTTCACTTTCGCTTTACTCATGGCGGATATTTGTCAACTTAGCATTAATCTGAAATCAAAAGTAAACGGCCTGCTGGCTTCAGTCGAGCGACAGTTTGCAAATCCACTTCAGTGCTTCTGAGTAGCAGCCGTACATTTATTTGTTCTCGACGTTACAGTATTTAGGGCTTTAAAAGAACTTAATACGCGTTCATTAACAAGAAATGTTAATACACTGTATTGATAACCTAAACAGTGAACACTTACCTGAAATAAAACTGGCCACCTCAAAACGTCAGTGTTAAGATGAAATATTTCGACGTTAAAACCAACGATCGCGGTGCACATGCACAAACGTTGCTCTCGAGTTTACGGCAGTCGGTTCAAGGCTTCTTTGGGACGATGGTGTTTATCGCTTCAAACAGCTCTATCACCGCTGATTAAAATAGAGCCAGCTGACGGTAGAGTGCGCAGCCATAAGACTGAATAAGCTCTAGCTTAACGGCCCAATGACTTGCAATTATAAATTTCTGTTTTTAAGATCGTGTTGCACACTTAAGGAATGCAAAGTAGGCAGAAATTACCTATTAAAACTTTGAATCTGCCAAAACAGGTCGCGTATTATGAAAATACTCAGTAGATAATAGGCTTTTAGAAAATTCCTTTTGGTAAATTAAAACAAAGAATTAGTTCCATACTTGGGGAAAAAAACGCCGAAAATTTCCATTACAAAAAGATATGACGTTTTTCGTGACACCAATTGACAGTAAGTCGATAAATGCAGATACAAGAGCTAACAAGTACTCTTATAGCTCTCTTGGTAAATCAAAGAACATCAGCATCTGAAGGATCTCAATCACGCACTTTTAGTTATAAAGTGTTCCGGTAGTATTTCTTTGAACAATAAACAAATATCAAACTTCAAAGGCATGTTCGAAAATACCACCGTGAAGGACATGGGTATCGCCGCACTGGAATAAGTATTCCTTTTCCGTCCGTAAAAAAGTTGCGTGATCCAATTATTTCAGTGCTAACAATACATGAACAGTATGGAATCCAAACATGTACTCAAAAGGCAAGTCATTGCCATGTCAGCGTCGGAATGTTAAACATTTCGTCTCGTGGTTTCGAACCACCTAGAAATCTTACTAAACTTTGTGGTAGAACTGAAGGCTGTGTATAATCTAGTTGTAATTCCTTTTGCTTCTGCAATTAATGTAGAGAAATGATTGTCGATTGAGTGTTAATTAAGCTTGATTAGTTAGGACAAAATGATCACTTTACGATCCTTTACATTTAATCGACTTCAGTTAACACTTAATTGAACCTCTCAGTACTCTTTTATAGCGTTCTTTGTCTTAGTATTGATGAGTAGCTAACAAGCTTCCAGAAACAAATAAGCAGGTTTTGTTTTTAGTCTAAGTACATTCCATAAAGATAAGCAAGTTTATTTTTTTGTTAAAGGGCATTCCATTAAGATGACATCATGGCAAAAACGTGTGCCACCGTGCACAATTAGTTATAAAGGAAATACTTAAAGGTTAAAACCTCTTAAAAAGAGGTAAATTGTCTTCCTGTTAAATTATAACCCGAGAGAGCCAATTTGAGGCTTATTTGAAATACTCGTAATCAAAGCCGAAAAATTAATTATAGATAATAAACACGATTTATCTAGAGCTTTAAAATGCCTACTATTGAGGCTTCAATCTATGACGGAATGAAAATTATGGAACAGCAAAGCCCCATCCCCTTCAAGTTTTATTTTCTTATCGTTGAAAGTTTTATTATCGAGCAGTTTTTTAGTTAACCAAGCATCATTAAGCCAATGATTCAGGTCCAAAAATGTTTTCTTTTTAATCAAAATGTCAAAATGTTTCTTCTATTACCTGAAAACCAGTGTTCTCGAAATGCGTTTTAACTTTAATTGTCTATCCTTTTATAATCTTTGTACCTGGCGCAAGAGGCTGTGTAAAGAAAGATTACCTGAAAGTCTACACCTTGTGCTTTTTTCAAAGAATTTTACCTTTAAATGAAAGGAGCCTTATTGTTCAACTCTAGTAGCGTCGCGTGTTTGAATTTTCGAGAACCTAGTAGCGACAATTATGAAAACAGCTTCTTTTCATAATGATTTTTGCAATTTGCAATGTGCTTTACCTTACAAGGCAAAACAGCAAAATAAATTCCTCTCAGTGTGAAATGATAAATACTGACCCGATAAATACAGTACGCAGCCGGGGTAAGGTTATCAATAACACCTCAGTACGATATGCAGTTGATGCGAGAGTCAAAATAAACTCTTTGTTCAAAAAAGGGGGATTATTTTGGACCTAACATTTTAGGAATTAACAAAATTCTTTGAAAGCCGTGGCCGTAAGACTGTTCACACGTATTCGGATATTTTTGAAAACAAAAAATGTTTTTTCCATTTTGAAAAAACAAAATACCGTCCACACGTAGCCTATTGTAATCGTTTTCGCCTGGCCAAATGAAAACGCCAAACTGATGGAAATAAATTCCTTACAGAGCATGCGTAATGCTAGTAGGGTGACATAATCGTATTCGAAACCCGCCATTTTCATCCGTCCACACGTAAATGAGAAGCTGGCTTTTTCAAAAATCAACACTTTTGATAGCTTTCGTTTTTGATGTTAAAAGACAAAGGGTTAAAACGGAGTGAAAAAATCTTCTTTTTCCAGAATATCTGGATATGTTTGGACGGGGTCTATGAAAAAGCGTACTGGCGGTAAGAAAAATCAAATCATGTTTTATCATTGCAAATCGGACTAAATTCCACGGTTGTTTATTTTGTACGTGCGTTTGTCTGTGCAAGGTAAATTTTGTTATAAATTATTTTCGAATAGACACAATCAATGTTAAAAAATACCAAGATTACATTCATTCGCAGTTTTCTATTCGCCAAGTGTATTTTATTTACCAACGTAGTGAGCGCACATTTACTGTGGATTTAATTGTCTTGCCCCTGCCGAGACTGTAATCGTCTTTTTGTTTAAATTCGTTCTCTTTAAACAAACTCGATTCAAACACCATGCCAGAAACGTTATGATTGAAGCAATAGTCATTCCAAGTAAGGAAACGGATTTAAGCAAGAGAGATTGGATTTAAGAGAAGGAAACCTTTTGGAAAAGAAAAAAGGAGATAAAACTATCTTCGAGAAAAGCGTAATAGTAAACAACGCCTTTCTGAAAAATAAGTAGATGTTGGAGGTCGTAAAGATGCCACGTCATATGCGGAAATCAGGAAGTAAAAGGAGATGATTCGCGATGCTTATATAATATCAATTTTTTGTCACAAATCTAATCAAATGGGCTCGTGAACATGTGTTGCACAGAAAGTCAAGGAACCATTGGTTGATCTCAATGGCTATCATATTCCATTCAGGCCGGCGAGTGCATCGTAAAAATAACGGACCAAGTTTTTTCGCTTGATGACGTCATTACGGGAACCAAACCGATATATAGATATAAAGAAACTGGGCATCCGAATATGCAGGCCCCTAAAATCCACGCGCTGCGCGACGAATTTATAAACCTCGGCTTCGTAAGGCCTTCGACCTCACTTCGCGAAGGAATATCGCCACACGATTTCTTTCAAGCTGCAAGCGTCAATTCTCTCGAGCCTTGAAATTGTCAAAATGACAAAATTATAAAGAAACTGGGCATCCGAGTTTGCAGGCCGCTAAGATCCACGCGCTGCGCGACGAATTTATAAATCTCGCCTTCGTAAGGCCGTCGACCTCGCTTCGCGAAGAATATTGTGACACGATTTCTTTCAAGTTGCAAGCTTTAATACAGTCGAGGCTTCAAAATGACAAAATTATATGTGAAAAGGCTTACAGTGTCACGCAGTATTCGTATTAATGCCAATTAACAGAATAAACTCAAATTGGAGTCAACCAAGAGGATACGTTTATTGAAATACCCGACACATTTAACAGAACTGTCTAAAGACGCAAATTTTCTCTCCCATTGAGTTCATAGTCATTTCACTTTGTAGCATTAGATGGTGTAGTTCTCATAAGAAAAACTGCAAAGCGTTTTTGCTTGCATTGCTTTGAGGTTTATCTTGTTCATTTTCTGTGCTAAATACGTTTTTTCATCATGTATTGTTCACATGGCATAAATGGCCTACGGAAAGAAAAAGTAAAAGAAATGAATAGCCCAAAAATATACCGTCCTTAAGCAACCGCGACGACAACTGCAGCGAAAACGTGACTTAAAAATTTAATTGCACCGTTTCAAAATTCGTCGCTCTTATTCCATCTAATTCAATTTGTCAAATGTTGCCTTTTTTTTCTTGATTGAATTCTAACGACTGTATGTAAGTTCAGAAAAATACACATGTATATATATGATATATATATTAATAATCACAGGAGTTCAGGCTTCAGGAGTAATCATTGATCTTTTATTGCGACAGTGCTGTTTCGTATGGTCCCAAATTGTAGGACCACACTCATCAGGCAACTTCAGTGATTGACCGTTAAAATTATATATATATATATATAGACCAGTAGGTGAACTACTAAAATCCTGAGTGCATGGGTGTTTAATACAAGCCTGTTTCGTGGGCCACCGAAAAGGTGACCCACTCTTCAGTTAAACTCCATTATTACACTGAAGCGTCAGGGTCTACATCAAGAAGAGTGATCGCGTGATAAAAACGGTTACATATAACGTTTGAAATTTATATTTTTAAGAAATTTAGAATGAAAAGCGCGCGCTCTTGAAAACGTCAAATTTAATTGGATGGTTTCACGTTGTAGTCGTGCAACAACGGCTGAGAAGCGTACAAAAAAGAGTGATGCACCTGCAAAGTTGTTGTTTTGCTTATCTAAATCCATTGATTTTTTGCCGTTCTCGTTGACGTCGCCGTCGTAACTGCTTAAGCTCCTCATTTATACAAGCCGGGGTGATCATAATGTGTTTTAAGAAAGAACAAAGAATGAAGCCACTAAAAATCACAATTTAGGTGGACGAGTAGAGCTTACCCGGCTTAGTCAGCAGTGCATGCAGGTTTTGCGGCAAGCCCTCTGTAGTATTCGTCTTGTTTTTCCAACGTCGGTGAAGCATTTGTGCCACATAGCTTTGCAGTATAAAGGCCTGAGATCTATGCAGTCTAGAGAATATAGCATTAAATTATGCTTAAAAAGTGCGTAGTATTTATTTGAAAATTATTTTGATCCCACATTCCATGCACTCTTAATATTCGAATTAAGTGTAGTATCCGGAAAGAGAGAGCCTTTGATTTAATAGAAATTGTTACTTTGCTTTCTATGTTCTATTAAGCTTTCCATTTAAAATATTTTTTTTCACTCTGCATATGTAGAATATCATGCATGCCATGCTAGTTAAGGCATAAACGATTTGAAACTTTTCAATGTATTAATAGACTTTTTGAAGCATGAAAGTGAGGACTTCGGCTGAGACGTTCCACATACTCATAACCGGAAAGAAAAACCAGCACGGTATTGTCGCATGTGTAAGGAACAAAAAGTAAAATCCTGATGAATGAAACTTTACCTTCAAAAGGATATATCTGGCGCACGTCTCTTTCCTCGCCAGCGTTGGCAAGTCGATTTAACAAGATCAGGAGCGATAAATTAAGAACAATTATCCTTAGCAACTTGAACATCGCGCTGTAAGCTGTCGATGGTCCTGAGACTTCTCTTGGCTTAATTTTTTAATCGACGTGTCCAGGTGGATGGGTCTTTTATACTTTTGAAATGATCGTGTAATTTGGACAGATGGTGGTATTAAACTCTAGTGGTCATAGTTGCTTGATATAGCACTATTTAAAAAATATACTGGCCTTATCTTGCGATAAGCATTACTTCCGTGCAATAGAATGTTCTTTTCAGTATTTTTTACGTTGGATAATAAACTAAAGGTGACAAAAAAATTGTTTTTCCCACGCCAAAAATGACTAAATCAGGCGTCTATTCAACTTTCTTACCTCCTACTGAGTCTTGATCCATTTACTAAGCAGTTTTATGTAGATTTTTGTGATCAACTTTCGACCATTTCGTACCCGTGGTAGATCAACAGCTTGTTTTGATGTTCAATAGCCGCATGGTAGAATCAGATTGCATGTCTTCAAAATGCAAAAAATATCGGTCACAGATATTTTTATGTCGTGACATAAAAATAGTTACTCAAACAAATCAAGAGGATAGCTGGAAAGATCCACGTTTATTTATAGTTGAAAGAGTTTAGTTAACTCAGGTGAAGGAAATTTAAAAAAAAAAGTAAAAATAGCATTTTGTATTTTGAGCCAGCCTCTTTTTGTTCCAAATACATTGAATGGGAAGACCATGTTCCACCTTCTTTGGTTTATTTGTGGGTTAACAATTCATTAAAATATCATTATTTTTGTTATCTGTTCATCACCCAGTTTACTGCCTTCATCTTTGACATCTTTCCTGCAACTGCCCTTTGCCCGGCATTTGACACGCCGAAACATTTAATTTGCAACTTATTCTAGCCGGTCCTTTAGTCGTAATCCTTTTGCCCCGCCTAACAGTGGCCGAAGAAAAAGTCACAAAAAATAAAATTTCTATTTGTAAAATTCTAAGAAATAAATAGTACTGTGGAAGAGGTTTGTCAAAGAGGTTTCAGTTGAATGGTAACACCATTGAATTCCACCCACGGTTCCAAAAGGTTGAACTATGTACAAAACAAATAGCACCATGCGAAAGTACTACTGAAGAGAATTCATTTGAATGGCAACACCATAGGATTTCATCCACAGACTCAAAAGTTAGAACCACGTAAAAAACAAATAGTACCATGCGAAAGTACTGCTGAAGAGGTTTCATTTGAACGGTAACACCATTGAATTTCACCCTCGGTCCCAAAAGGTAGAACTGCGTTCAAAACAATTAGTGCCAAGTGAAAGTACTGCTGAAGACGTTTCATTTGAACGGTAACACCATTGAATTTCACCCTCGTTCCCAAACGTGGAACTGCGTTCAAAAGAATTAGTACTACACGAAAGTCGTACTGGCAAAGCGATTTGAACGGTATCTCCATAGAATTTCACGGAACCTAGAAATATAAATTTATAGTTAGAATCTTATGACAGATTATCTTGCCAGGCTCTAGAAGTAAGGGCTAAGGAAGGACCAGTTCAAAGAAATATTTCTTCTATCCTTACATTGGTCGTTCTTATCCTCAAAAACTAATTTTCGATGAATGTTTTAATTACTTATCATCGATAACAAAAGGTTGTCGAAACAAAAGAAGCCATGTGCAGCAGATGAAACCTGATTCACTATTCAATGGCCCATTTTACAGTTGCAGGTGAAAACGAGGCTTGAGTTGACCTTGTTTTGATACAGCCCTTCCTGCTTTATTATGTAAATCATGTCTTTCTTATGCTAACTAGTATTTTTTAAGCAAAATTTACATTAGAAAAGGATCGAGGTTTTTATCAAAACAACGTCAACCTCAACCTCACGTTCATTCAAAGACTAGGACACTAAGCACACAACTGTAAACTGGCCTATTTACCGGCTCTGACCCCTTCAGTAAATTTTCTTATCTTTTGGCAGTCATAAATAAACATAGAGAAAAAGGAAAGAAAAGAACGTCATATCTTACCTAAAATGGTAGGCCTTCCTTTCAATCCTTTTTCTGGTTATTACTTTCTTTTTAATTCCGACAAGGACTAACAAATGAGCTAAGTTTATTGGTTTGGATTCTTGATGAAACTCGATGCAAATTTATAAAAAAAGACGTTGCCGATGAACATTGTAAACTTCTTACTGAAATTGTTATGCTCTTTCAATATTCAGAGATTTTATTTTATAAGCTTCATTAGATAATGATAAGCTTATGTTAACAAGGGAAAAAATGTAAGCAAAGATTCGCCTATTAAAATGCTAATGCTTGTGAAAAGTTACTATTTATTGAAATACACTGTATTCCCTTGAATAACTACAACAAAAGGTATAAAGTGGCCTCATTTGCTAGGGCAAGTTTGTATCTTCACATGTGAAGTAGCTGATTTTTGAGTTACTCCAAATCTCTTTATTAAAGCGAAACCTTGTGCACAAGCATTCATATGCAAATTACAGTAAAATTCCGAAAATAAGCCCCTCCATGTATAAGCCCCTCCAAATATAAGCCCCCCAAACCGGTAACGCAAAAAAACCCTTCGTCAAATCGCCCCTCCCAATATAAGCCCCCGGGGGCTTGTACTTGGCAAATTGCCCTCAAATACAAAGTAAAACAAAGCAAAAACGGTAAATTTACTTCCAACTATAAGGCTAGCCCAATCAATTTTGAAACGCAAATTTTCCTCCGTAGATAAGCCCACTCCGAATATACGTCCCTCCAAAAATAAGCCCTTCAAAAAGGGCCTTTGAAAAATATAAGCCCCGGGACTTAATTTTATTGATAACAATGCTAACTAATAATAATAATACTTATTTTCATATGAAAGACGGGAGACAGGACTCGCCTTGAAAACGAGGCTTTAATTTATATGGAAATGCCCTATTTTTCGTCAAAATTTAAGGCTTATTTTGCTACTCTTGATTTGAATTGATTTTAATCAAGATAAACAGGCTAAAACATGTTTATCTCAATTATTTTTTTATGAAATCATGCTTTTAAATTGTTATCCCAACCGTGTTTTGCCTCATTGGATGCCCTTATTTACAGCTGTGTGAAAATAGGAAACAAATGTGAAATTGAAATGATCAGCATGTCACGAGCGTGACAAACGAAAAAATCTGAGTCCCCGACAGGATTCGAACCTATGATCTCCCAAACACCGGGCGGGCGCTCTATCCACTTGAACTACGGAGAACTAATGGAGAACTTTTTCATTCTTTCACCAGGAAATAGGAAACAAATAAAGTACTAAAATTTAATTAGTTAAATTGTTATATAGCTGGAATTTTTTCCCCAACAGCGCGCGCTCTCATTAGTTACTTCGAGGTCACATGACATCTAACGATGAAACTGTTTCCCGCCAAAATCTCTGAGCGGGCAACATTGCAAAAATCTATGAGAGAGTAACAGTGCACTGTTACCAGCGAATGTTGACCGAAGACCCACCGTCACAGCAAAGTTTAATGTGTTCTCAGTTTTCTAGTCCTCGTCGTCTTTATCATCAGAGACGCCTGCAAAGGAAAACAAATTTGTGCTCCACATATATTCTGTATAGCCTATCCCATTGTGAATGTGTTCGCATATGGTTGGAACGTGTTTTAAGACCAGGACGTTAAAATGCGTTTGAATTTGCAATTTCCCAGAAATGCGGTGAATGACTAGAGCACCATTAAAGTTGCACAAGCTAAATCCGTCGTTCTCCGAGTAAACAGCGTTTCCCATCGTAAATGGCGTAAACCTTTCGTTATCCGTCAGGTTAACTTTGATATGTTGCATTAGGTATCCAAAGCATGCATCTTCGTTGGGAAATAATCGCACGGTTTTTAAAGCCCTGAACAACTTTGTCAAAAGGCTACCACTATAAACATAGCCTGGTCCAGATGCATAGGGCGGATACTTGGAATCAGGGTATTCCTCTTCTGACACGTACCAAGGATCGTCTGGCTCACGGAAAGGCCTCCTATCTAGAAAAGCGGCACCCATATACAGAGGTGTGGTTTGCTTGCTTTCCATAAGAAACTGGGTCAGTTGAAATACGTTAATAAAGGAGTCTTCATCTGCTTTCATTACATACTGAGCCTGGCAGTGCTTGGCTGCCCATTCAATCCCCAATGCCATCTTCTTTGTCAGGTTTCTGTAGGAATCTATAAAATCTCCAAATACCATATCATTGTGGATCTTGGCCTCTTGCCGGAGCAATTTGTCTAGCCTGGGGTTTTTCGTCTCGCCTACGAGGAACACCGTTTTCCACAACCTTAAATCCAAAAAGAACCATACGATTACGTCAATGAAATACTCGGCCTTTTTCAGGGAAATATATCAAATAATCTTTCACTTGTTTTTTGATATCTCACGTAACTTTCAAGGATAGGTAAGTCTCTTTATATCAAAAGTGACTTCATCTTGATGTTCAGCTCTGCTCACTGGAGTTGAAACACACCAAAGAAAAGCGACTATCGTCAACTCTTTCTTGACTGACACCTTTATCAGACAGACACCTCCCTAAAAAGGAGACCTAGTGTTGGTTCTTGTCTTTCTTTTTTCCCTTTACTTGAATCTCTATAAAACAGAGAGTTGACTCTCTATAAGATGGACATCTCTCTAAGACGGAAACACAGGGCGATCCCTAAAGTTGTCTGACTCTTAGAAAGAGTTGAATGATTTTTTTTGTTGCAGGGAAATTATTTCTTTCTGAGTGGATTAAAATCTAGAACAGTAGACACCTGGTGAAAGCTGTTGCATAATATCTTATGACTTGTAAGGTTATGAAGTTTTACTGAAGAAGCGTTTAAGTTGAGAGAATTGTACTTCTCTTGATGTTTGTGAATATGAAGAGCGAGTCGCTTTGCATCATGTTAATTGTAAAACTGACAACTAAATGTGATCAAATCCGCCGCACGCTTTTGTGTGGTATTATGTAACTGGCCTTAATGTTTCTGATTCGTTTTCGAGCCGGTCGTATTATCAGTTGTTGCTGAGATTTTCCGGCAAGCCCTGCTTTCAATATCAAATATGCCATATGGACCCCTCTTAAAATTTTGTTGTTGCGTTCTCGAAATTAGAGTACTTTTAGTATTAGACTGATCTAACCATTTCACTTCACTATAACTATAAATCCCTTTATTTAAGTTTTTTAATGATCAGAGAAAATCTCTACTCTAGAAAGGAAAATGCTCTGTGACTGTTACTTAGTGTATTGCTTGGTATTGCATTGCACATCCATACGCATATATAGGACGCGCATTAAAACATGGCAGCCTTTGCCTTAAGGCTGGATCTCCTCAGAGAGGTAGATTTCTGTCAAACGAGTGAAGTTACCTATCAATTTTTTTCTCTTTATTTAAATGAGCAGATACTTTTTTTCTCTAGAGTATACATTGGCTAATCTCCAGTGCAGAATGAGAAAACATTGTCGAAACGTGTTCAAAGCATATGCTCGTCAAGGAACATATGCTCGTATATACAGGCTGCTCCTGCTACTTAACGAGTGGGGACCCTCCAGTTGTATTCAAGTGTCTACAACATAAACAACCGATCGGTTAATTCAACAAAAATGTCACTGCAGGTTCTATGAAATTAATTTCTTACCCAGACATGCCGACTTGCTTCCAACCATTAGCTTTGTTGATCCTGTTTTCCGGTCGTCCCCAGGACATTCGAATGGCTTGTCTTTCCATGACGTTTGCCGGACTGGAATGGATTTGTATTAAAAGAAATGGAGCCGGATTACAATCAGGCGAAGAAGAAGTCGACTTTACTTGTCCATGTTCATCACTTATGTTGACTTTAAGGGTCAATTTCTTTCCGTACAGTGCAGCTTGTTTAAAAGCTTTTCCCTCCCTTTTTCTAATCTCTTTAAATTTCTGGAAAGTTGTGTCAATTTCGATTTGCAATCCTTTCCAATTAACGAGCAGACGCTCCTGGTTTTGATCCTTGCTATCAACAAAATATTTGCTGGATTTCGTGCCATATTGATAATTAATTATTATCAAAATGTTCGATATTCCCAAAAAAAGGAACAAAAGGAAGAGAAATCTAGATCTTAACGTGCACATTAGGAGGAAAGACATTTCAAAAGCATTAATGTCATGGCAAATGACCCCTCTTATGAAAGCCGGTGAAAATAAAACAAAGGATATTAATTTAGTTTCGGATAATTCCTAACGCGGTTGAAAGCTACCATGGAAATTAAGCGGCATTTGCGCAAAAACAAAAAACTTGGCAAAGAAAACTTTGTCCTTTTAAATGCATTTTTTAATTAAAAAAAATAAAACATTACCTTCTTTGTTTGCTGGTGATGTAAAAACAGTCTTCGTTACGACCAAACATATAATAAAATATTATTTGTCGTATAGTTTATGCACCGTTCGTCTCGGTAGTCGACTCCACCGCGATCAGACGTCTTAGGCTCTTTTTTGTTGTTGTTTTATTAGGTATTATCGTATTAACCCTTTAACTCCTTAGATTGACCAACATAAATCTTCTCCCAACAAACACAATACATTATCAAGGGGAAAAGTCTTGGGAGTTCTTAATAATAATCACGGGGAAATGTTTTGATCTTTCATCAAATTCTCTCATGAATAATAACTATAACAAAATCCTCAAATCTGATTGGCTATCAACTGTCCTGATTTCAGCACTTATACTTGACTGGCTTAGAGCAGTGGTATTTCAGCTTAATTTGAAATACCTACATGTGAAAATTATAAACCTTTTGTGGGTAGTAGTATAAAAAAAATTATAGCATGATTTGTACGTGATATTTGGCATAAATACCACTTGTGATATTTCAAAATTTTCTCAAATTTATGTATAACAATTTCGAAATATCCCCCGTGATATTTATGCCAAATATCGATACAAATCATGCTATTACCTATACTAATCATACTCGCGACTAAAATCGGACTTTGTTTATCACTCGTATGATTAGAGACCGAAGTGCATGGACTCCACTCTATCCCGTTACCATTATTAATTATATAAGAAAATATATTGACATCAGTCTGGAGAATCTTTAAGTAAATTAGGGCTGAAAGGATTAACCATTAGGTGAAAATGTGGACAAGTATGAGTAAAATATACAGTAACTACTTGTTTTTCCTCAAATAATAAGCTTCTGAAAAAACTTATTTGTATGCATGAGTGTTTTCGGTTTGTTTTACCGTGCCCGCATGATGCAGCTGGGAGATTTAAACAAAAAGGTTGGTTTCGTTTACTCAGATGCATGTAAAAAACAAAGAAAGCTTACGTTGCTAGGGACTAAATCGTTCAAAAACATGATTACATATTAAATATTTGAATTTTTCTGGAGTTGTCATAGCATTCTCAGTGAAACAAGAACGCTCTTAGTAGCGTTGAGTCTCGCTTGCTTGGAGATGAGTTTCGTTGTCAAAGGCGTCGGTGCTGGGGAGCTCGTATTTCGTCCCTCCCCAGGGACGAAATACGAACTCCCCTAAAAACGCCTGCGTGGGAGGCTTCCTTTAAACTTCATAATTTTAAGACGCTTTGTCCAGCAGTGTCATCAATGGATAATTTTCGAAAAAAAAAAAACCGTGGAAGGGTCTTTTGGGGTATGAATTTGCTTAAGTACGCTGAAGGATTACTACTACTACTACTTTCGTTAGTTTAAGAGCATCAAACTGAGACTGCCTTTTTGTCTTCTTTAATGGTGGCTCAACCAATTATCTATTTTTGCTCAAAATAAAATCTGCATTTCGTTGTTGTTTACTTTCAAGTTCGTCAGAGTATAAATATACTTTGCTAGAACTTTGAAATCATACTAGGGTTAAAGTTTGCTACTTCTTTTCACGGTTGAACGGCACTTCATCTAGCAGATACTTCATAATTGTTCTTTTATCATTCCATTGGTTAATGCTAGCTTGAACGAATGAATCTCTTTCATTTGATTTCCATCTACTCAGCGTTCTCTTCCGTGTACTGCAACCCAGATCAGCCAAGCACTTGTATTTTGCGTTATTGCAGCCTGTACAGTGATTTGGAGTTATACAGGAGCTAAAACAAGAATGCCAGTCGTCTTGACAGCAATCACAGTCCGTACAATTAGTGCCTTCTACTGAGTGTATAAAACAGTAGACTAAAACCAGCAACCCAAGACAAGGAGAGATCTTCATCTAAAATCAGAAGGTAAGTTGATCTAAGTTATAGCTTTTTTTTCCCTTAAGCCCGCCTCGAATACGGCTTGAAGCCATATCTGTGGGTTTTCAAGTATTCTGTGATTTTATTTATTAGCCAATAACTCTCTCCTTCCTAGATGCTCCCGCGGGGAAAAAATTTGCATTAATAAGAAAAATTGCGATCACGCGGTGGACGATGGGAAGAGGGGAAAAGCGGCCTCTTTTCGTCTCTTTCACGTTCCCCTCGTCCCGCGCGCTTCCCTTTTTTCCCCTTTTATCCAGCCTCACTTCGACACAACGAGGCTTCCCCGTCGCGGACCAGTTTATTTTTAGAACGGTTTTATCGCGAATTTTGAATATCTTTTAAATTCAGCAAAACAGTCAGGAAAACCTACAGACCTAAAAGTGATTTTTTTGCCTTTAAATAATGTTTATATTTTCTTTATGATATCTTGTTCTTCGAATGCGCTCACTGACATAGTGGAGATTCTATTCATGCGGGAAAAAGTGCCCTAATTGTGTCTAAAAATAAACTGGTCCGTAAAAATGCCGTGACATAGGCCTAGTATGGGAGTTGCTCGCTCCAGGTTATGGGCTCCTGAATTTGTTTAAAATATGTCGTTGATCATTTTGTATGATGTGTACGGCGTAGCTGACCATTTAATGGCAACCGCAGTCCTCGTTCTAAGTTGGTTGCAATTTTAAAGTGCACGGTTTTAGAAAAAGTGACAATAAAAGCTCAACTTTTCGACAGACGCCATCTGTTACAAAAGCGGAAGATGCCCGCAGTATTTTTATGATGTCACAATGCTCCAGGGGGAATTTACGACATGTTTACATAAAAATCCACCGAAAAATTATGAGAAAGACAATGGTGATGATATAGTGATAGTATTAATAATCTTTAATGCTACTTGAGTATTTCACTGTAAGTTTATATTATTCATACTGAAGGAAATCATACTTTCAGTCGACAGACAAGCCTCCTGACCTGAGAGCCACACAGCGGATTTTGTCACCTAGGCGACAGAATGCTCGTACCCCGGATGAAGGCTTTGCCAGATCGTTAATGTAAGATTAATTTGTCATCTAAATCCTTTAATTTTATAATTGGTAGGCAGTTGTTTTCGATCTGTCGATCGCTTTTAGTGCTTCTCTTCTTTCTCAGAAAACTGTCAGGTATAGTTTATTTGAATCCCACTGAAACTGGGGCCCTGGTACGCGTAGGAGGCAAGCTTCAAAAGGGCCTTGGACCGGATTCTCACTTTTAGACGTTGTTCAAACCCTACGGTAGTTTTTTTTCCTTTTTGCGATCTAAATCTTCACTAATTAGATATCTTCAAATAACCGTCTATGTTTTTAATGGCGCGATTCCTGTTTTTGATTCGATATTAACATAAATCCCGGCCCTCGCACACTGTTCCTTAAAGGGTAAATATTAGATATTAAAATAAATAAAAATAATTAAGGTAAATTTTAAATATTAGATTAAAAACTGATATCAAGAATCGTTGTTTTCAAAAATAACATTAAAAGGCCGACATGGTACCTAAAACTAAAGAAAAAAGAGAGGGAAGGCTTTTTTGTGATCTGTGAAAATTTTTTGGCGTTGGATTATAGATGCAAATGTTTTCCACGTTTAAGGTAAGACAAAAGTTTGTAAGGTCACCTTTTTATCCCTGAAAAGTTTTGATAAAAAATTAAAAGCTACCTAAAGATTTTTGCCAGACAGATGTAAGTTTTAGTAATGATGGTCAATTGCTTGTCAAACCTCTGGCAAAATCGACCTTTTTGCTTGTTGTTCAGTAAAAAGGTTTCGTGCGATCTTTTTGTTCTTCGGATTCAGTAGCCATTCCTTTAAAGTAGACTGCAAATTAAGACAATAACAAGCGAATTTTTCTCTTCTTCATTCATCGTCACCAAATGTGTAGTCGATGAAGTTCTGTAGTACAAATTTATGTATTTGGGCTTTAGGTTTCTTTTGAATTTCAAACTTGCAATAGACTACACTGAAAACATATTAAAAGAATTTTAGTCAGAAATCAGTTTTGGTTTTCTAGGGTACTTTAATTAGCTCCTAACCATTAATTGTACTGTTGTGAAAAGAGAATAGATTTACAAGACATCCAAGAAATATGTCAGTAAAGAAGAACACTCTTCAATGTTATTCTTGCGTTCTTACCTTCTTGTATGTTTTATGTAATCACTCCTGTTATCGGGTCCTCTAGTGACGGGCGTAAGTCAACAGAAAGCCGGCCGGCCTCAGTCAGTGCTCTTCCACTTTCGCAGCTCTTATAACTGTTGTTACGCATCCGGCCTCGTGGTGTGGGCTAGCGTCATTAATAGTGGTTGAAAGCCACATCACTTATTAGCTGGAAAATCAATTCAGCCGGTCGGTGTCGATTTCTTTCCACGTCCGGGAAGTTTATTAGTAGTGGTTGAAGTGGATAAGGCTTTCTCACTGTGTTTTTGTCGGCACACGTTTGTTTTTTCATCGAATGATTTTGTTTTCTTGTCTCCGCGAATGAAGGACCTTATCACCTGCTGAGAGTTTTTGTCAATTTTTCAATATTTTCACGTTTCCCCTTTTTTTCCGGCAGGGAGGGCTATTTATCTTTCACTTAGTTCAGTGCATGACTGAGGAGATGACGATCGAAGATGCGCACAAGCTGATCAGTGAAGACTATTTCTTTACCGGACTGATTATTGTGATAGACGAGTCTTAGGTAGAGGTTTCTAAAAGTTAAAAGATCTCTGTTTATGTCTAAGGGATTCCCTTTTGTCTGCATTTAATAAGAGAAGAGATTCTTATTTGTTGATGTCTCGGAACGCAAACCACCATTTGACTCTTTAGGGAAAAGTGAGCATCGAACTCTTAAGAATTTTTTTTGTTATTGGATGAAGTGTTAAAATAT